AATTCCTGCCTCAGATACACTGTCAGTGCAACTCAAGATACATGTCAGAGAAGATTTACTGCACTGAACAGTTCAAAGAACTAGGGACTGCCTCTTAAAAAAGGATTTAGATTTCCTCCCACCCACCTAGTGAAAGTCAAAGCTTTAAGTAACTAAACTCCCTATAGAACATATGCAAGCTGTAAGTATATAATAACAGGACCCTTAAAACCAAAGGTCTCCTCTTACCCAACTTTATAGCAGGAAGGGGTGGCATTTTACCTATCTGCATTAAAAATAATAATAGGTTTTGAGAGAAAGAAGCAGAAATCAGGACTTGGTTCCCTCCCAGTTAAGTGACCCTAACCACAATGAAGACATGCTTGCCTTGTTTTGGCTCTCCTTGCATGCTTCTCAATCATGGAGACCTTCCAGAAGAGACTGAATAGCCAGCCAGATGGCTAAAGAGGTGACAGATGGGGCTTTGAACCATCAGTTGGAGAACAGAATTAACCAGGATTTCATAATGCTTCAAATACTGATGAACCACTAGACCATCACACAGAGGAGGAGATTCCTCAAAAAGCAGGAGATTCCTATCAGAAAGTCACCTTGCAAAGGTGGCTTTGAACAGGGAAGGAAGCAGCAGTCACAGTTCTTTAAAAGGAAGGGGTGAGGAGCCACATGCAGGACAACGTTCAGAGATTTGGCTCCTAATGAAGGAACATATCATCCTGAGACCCCAAGAAAGGCACTGACATCCTAGGGAGAAACAGGTTAAAACCCCTCTTCAGCCAAACACTACAGTCTGGAAGTTCAGAAACCTCCAGTGTTTGGTGATTTTAAAGGGTTCTGGATGGTATTTCAAGTCTATGTATTCTGCACTGGTTTAAATTATTTACTGGATCCAACTTCATGTTTTCAGTATAAATATTTTAAATGACTGTTAAATTTCAATGGTAGTATTTGAGCCTATATAACTATCTTCTGTTCACCTTCCTCTTTTTTCCTCAAGTCCATGAGGACTTCTTTCCTCCCAAGAGGCTTTCTGTCTGTTGATCTTGTGAGCACTCTTCTACATGAATATTTCAGGATTTAAGTATTTTCATGCAAGATACTACTTTTGCAGGTCCCCCTAAATTATGAAAAAAAGAAACCCTATTACAACACTTGATTTCACAGAGAAACTACAAGTACAATGTACACTATTTTTTCATATTTATGATAGTGTCAATATAAAAAATACCCGTATCAGTATTTTCCTAAATCTATAATGACATTTTAATTAATACACTAGGTTTTAAAGCTGATTTTTAAAAAAAATTATACTTCAAAGTAGATTCTGCACATTTCATGAATCAACTTCATCATCTCCCTTACTACTTACCATTCCTACCAGTCTTCTGGCAAGTCCTACTCTTTTACTTACTCCTCTGTTGAAGGCCTGACATTACCTGACTGCATACAGAGTCATCATGGAGTTAAACAAAATCAAAATTCTACTTCCGATAAACATTTTTTTCACAGTGAGAAATCCCACCTTATTTAAGAGTGTGTAATTTCTTTCAGCTAATTACAGCTCAGTGTTATTGCTGAAATGACTGCATCAGTACCACAAGAAGATTTTACACCAAGATTGTAACTAGTCTAACAGAAAATATCTTTCAGTTCTCCCATCATAAATAATAAAAATACCATCAGATTAATTCAGAGTCGATACATGAAGCACTTATGGTGTATCAATCTTCTTTCCTAGTAATTCCCACATGCAAATCCATGGGACTAAATCATCATAATCCATTCACTATCATGTCCCACACATAGCTTTTCCCTTCAAGGGAGATTACCTTCACGCAGACAAAAGAAAGCTATTTCTGAGGTTGTGCCTTAAGCCACATGGCAAATTCCAGAAGAAAATACATACAAAGAAAATCTCAGGGCAATTTAGGAAAAAAAAAAAAAAAAAAAAAAAAAAAAAAGGTGCCAAAACAACTCCGCATGGTCAGAATTTGTGTAGATGTCCCTAATCCCAGAAGTAGAAACCTTGCCTTCTAATGGACTCCAGAAGAAAGGAGTATGTTCAGGGAAGAGATTAGAAAGATCATCACTGATGCCATGTGACTGTTAACAATATTTTGGAAACAGAGAAACAGTGACAATAGAAGGGGAAATGTCTCACTTGAAGTGACCAAAAGGCCTACATTAAACTAGCTGAAGTATATATCGCACCGTGGCACTATACTTTATCTGACTAATGTGCTTATGCTCGAATTGGGTGTGTCCTGTCACATTCCCGCTCATGCAGCTAAATGCACATTGAGGAAACTGCCTTATGCATGTATATAAATGCATTCCACTGCCAGTAACTCATGAGGAAGTAAAGGAAAAAAAATGACTACTTAAACACTTAAAGACTAGCACCAGGAGATGTTTAAGATCCTTGTTCCTCTGCTATTTCCACATAATCCCATCTAGGTGAGGACCATTACTCTCAGCAAGTTTTCTCACACCAATTAGAAGATATGAATACCTAGGATGAAAAGCTTGAAGAAACACCCAAATTTTTCACATCACAACCAGCTATGTTAATTCCAGTCTTAGAATAAACATAAACACTCCCTTTTCTATTTCTCATGCAGAAAAATGGTTACTGTATATGTGCTCATCTGCATTGAAATGTAATTATTTGTTTGTTTCAGATGCAAGAGTGTGAATCTGAAGGAAAAATATACCACAGATCATGAGCCAGATAAGTGCATGGACCTGTCCTGAAAAACAGAAACTACAGCCTGTACTGAATCAGTAGCAAAAACATGTCTTCCTTTTTCTTCAGCTGTCTGCAAAGTGATTAACTAAGACAATTTACCAGCTATGAAAAATTAACATGATTTTGATTTTATAATGTTTTTCCTAGATGCACTATCATCACTATGATACACCTAGTAATGAGAACAACAGAATAACAGCATTATCCCTGACATGAAGAAAAATGCAAATTTTGTACAACAGCCCAAGTTATCAACTCTGTAAAATTTAACTCTCATTGTTCAAAGAGCATCTCCACTGATATGAGCCTACAGGCACATACCTATGAGAAATTTTCAACTTTCTTCTGCTAAACAAGAGCCTAGCTGACAAGTATGCATGTACATCCAAAATGTCCATCTATGAACCAAGCTCTAAGTCTTACAAAAAGTGCCTGAATAATTATAAGAAAGTTGAATGGGTCTAGAAGACAGATGAAAGACTGGACTCCACTTTCCACCTGAAAGCAAAGTCTGCATTTGAGGATTTAGGCAACAGTTAGGATTAATCTACATGAGACACTTGTAAAACTTTGACTTTAAGTTCTCTTTTTTTTTTTTTTTTTTTTTTTTTTTTTTTTTAAACATGGTATAGTTAAACCCATATAAAGACCCAGGCTGTAATAATTTATTTCAGGTTTTGGGTAGTTCATATTCTTAGTAATTATTAAATTTACTAAATTATTAAATTAGATATGTACTATGACTACTACACTGGATCTTCAATACATGCAGGCTTGGTGGTTCAGAAATTTAAGACAACTCTGAAGTTGTTGAGGTAGCTATATGTGCACATCTCTGCATCATATCATGTAGGCATACTTCAAGTGCTTAGAAAATGTGTAACATGGTTACCACTGCTGTCTGTTTGCATTTCTGTAAGGTGAACAGGTCCCGAACCAGGAGCATGGTCCTGATATCCATTATGCACAAACACAGCTGAACTTTACTCTGAGGAATCTTAAATTATCATGACAATGGTTAGACAACTGAAATGTCCATTCTTGCTTGGTAAGTGTAACACTAGCTGCATGTATAATGGCTTATATGTCCTGCTGTGAAAAGGCACAATGCTTGCATGTCACCTTTTCTCTTTTTAAAACTAGGATCATTGAAGTATACTGTGAAACCGCATGATGTTGCATCATGAACTTCTTCATTCTGACTGTGTTTGCACTTACATGCAAATTTCTTCCCAGCAAAGAAAAGTGAGAAGTTTTGGGTTACCATATCAAGAAACTAAGCCTGATCCTCATTTACACTTTGTAAATGAGAGTCAGTGCGGGCTCACAAGTTTGGGGAGGAAAAAAGCAAATAAACAAAAAAAAAACCCCATGTTTCAGTTCTGTTGAACTTATGGGATGGTGCATTTTCATTTACCACTAAATTAAGTAACTCAAGTCCACCCAGCTGTCTACTGAAAATTTGGACTTTAGCTCAGAAGTGGACAGCTTGCTCTCATTTCCAGGGGAAAACGCTCACCTTCTGATTGCTTGTCATACCCTTCACACCAAGATTATCAGGCTGCCAGAAGCCTGAACTTCTGAACTAGAAAGAACTGTTGGTGCTGCTTTTTCTTTCCCAAAGCTTATTTTCACGTTTACTCTATCCCAATCATCCTTTGTATCATTCCAATCCTTGTCATGGGTACAGAACTAACAGCCCCTACACATTCACAGTGTCGAAGTGTTCAGGAGCGCAGAATCACATACAACTTATGGGGATCTTTTGCAGGCACCGTCCATCAGATTGCTGCAATTGCTGCAGCTCTAGAGGACACCATAAATTTATTTCATGTAAGTCAATGAAAAATGACAAAGAGGGACCAAAGCTGGATTTGAATTGATTACCCAAGGAAGAAAAACTCCATATCCCATTGTATTGAGCTATCTGGCACTCAGCCTTATTCTCTGTCTCTGGCTGGAGATTTAAAACACAGTAATACTCTGCCAGAGGACACAGTGTGTCCACCTTCATGAAGAAAAATGGAGCAAAGGAAAACATTTGGTTCCCTTGTAGGATAATAAGAGAAGTATGTCTTCAGATTGAGATATACTAACTTCTCTGTAGCAAAGGTTTTTGTGTTATTTCTTATGGCCTGCCTAGCAGTTTATTACTGAGAAACAGTGACAGAAAGCAGTCAGGAGAAAGGCACCCAGCCCATGGCGGTGAGAAATTCTTCTTAAGAATGTTAAATCTTTCTTGCTAAGAACTAACCTGCATACTTCTAAATCATCAGACCAGTCATCATACGACACTGGAGGCTTCTGAACAGCATCAGTCACACCGGGCCCTGCCCCAGCAGGTGCTCTGTTATCTGGGACTGCCAGAGCGTCACTGCCAGAGCCTGCCTCTGCAAAGCAGTCCTTTGAAACTTTATTGTGTCTAAGGAAAGATGCAGGCTGCTGATCTCTGTAGTAACCTTTCCCTTTGCCTTTCCCACGTTTTCTTGAGGAAATCCTTGCTTCCTGAGATGATGCTGAAGACTGTGATTCCTTAAGCCTTGGAACTCTTCTTCGGCGGTGACTTAAAGTAGGATTCTCAGGGTCAGACACCTCTTGCTTCTTTCTCCCCATTGTTCCCAAGGTCACAAGTTCAATACCATTATTGTTTGAGGACCCATCCTGATTACTGCATGATTTATTGTTCCTTCTCCCTCTCCTGGGCATTCTGGCCTTTTCTCTTGCTCTCTTCCTAGCCTGAGCCCACTGACTTTCATCTGAAGATGATGATGAATCAGATGCATTCCAGCCGGATCTCGCAGGCTCAGGATGCAATTTACAGTCTTTCCCCTTTCCTTGCTTTTCTGAATACTCACCATTGTCTCCAGTCTCTCTTTTCCGCCTAAACCTTCGTTTTACTTGTTTCTTACCAGACTCCCTATTAGAAGGGGTCAGCACCATGACAGGGGTTGCATGTTCAAGCTCATCTTCTGACAAATCATGCAAGGTAGTAGATCTAGACAAAGCAGTAAGCAAAGGAAAGGGATGGAAATGGTAAGGGTGGGTGGAAAGAGAAAAATCACAAAAAAAGGATGAAAATGAGAACATGAATTGTAACAGAAAAACATGAGACTGAAAAGCAAAATCAGAACCAAACCAAAGAACGTTCAAAAGAAAACTAAAGTCTATGTAAATTATGAATAGCGTTAAGCAGAAGCAAGAGCTGCACATTATTTAATAAATACAACAAGTATCAGCCGGATTATATTTTTCTCAGCACATACCTACAAATGTCCTGAGTGGAGGGGCAGACAGACAACCGTGACTGACTCCTGGGAGCTGTTCCTGTTGTAGGACTGCTTGCCTGTTGAAATAAGTTAGACAGTTTGGAATCTTTGTCCATGAAATACATTGCAGATATTTTACTGCTGTGCCACATGATTACAAAATTAAAGTAACTGTTGCTGCTGTTCATAGCACACTGTTGAACATATGCAAGCTCACAAAATACAGGAAGCCTGACCAAAAGCAAAACCTATTTGTGGAACTAAATATGACTGAAGTGTTTCAGCTCTCGTTCGCTCAGGACCACTTTTTTTCACCGTTTGAGGAAGCAGCTTTCAACATGTGAATTTTCATTTAGGCTTTGATCTACTGTAAATGTCTGATGGGAAAGGATGTTGTTTTTATTTCATGCAATCAAACAACCATGACGATTTTTTTTCAAAATGGAGCGAAGTGCATTTACATTATGCTGAGTGATGAAAAGCACAAAGCTAACGTATGTTGAGTGGACTGACAGACAGAAAGAAAATTAAAGTGTGTTTTAAAAGGTTTTCAAGGTAATCAGATCTTCCAGAAGTGCTGAAAAATGTTAAACTGATGAGCCTGAGAAGACCAAAGTGCAGGCTGTATCTCTATAGAATGGTTCACAATCTCAAACAGCTGAAGAGATATAAAACACTTTCAGTATGTGGCATTTTGCTCATGAGGTTTTTGCTACAAATTGCAGACTCAGTCGCTCAATACTTCCACTGAAAACATATTTTGATGAAGCTAACAGCAAACCATTTCAATCTGCCTCACAGTCTACTGTATGCATAGCTGTATGGAATCCAAATTTAAATCCAAGGCTCTGTGATTCTTCAGGATCATTCATTAAGTACAGTATTGTGGAAGAGGGTTCAATGCAAATCATTCTTTAGCTGATAAGCTTTTAGTATGCAACCCTACCCCGTCGTGAATACAACTACCAAATGGAGACAAAATACTATAAGCCTAAGAGTTCCACAAGATCGTGCACCAGATGCAAGGGAAGAATGACTGTTAAGCGAGTACGAAGTACAAGTAATACAAAGATGTAAAGGCTGTCATCCCAAGCTTTCGTACTAGCAAATCAAATTCAGTCACATGTACAGTCCTTAATTAAAATTTTTTTCTAGCTCACCTTTCACTGACATTTTTGTGGTGTCAGTTTGAAAATAAATAAATACAGCAAGTACCTGCTGACACTTCACTTTTATCCAAGGTTCTTAATATCCATTCTATTTCATGCATATATTTCCATCTTTTGGAAACGTCAATCACCACTATGTGCATTTTTGCTTTTAATGGGATACCAGTTGAGACTTAAGAATGGTGCTTTTGCATGAAAATAATCTAGCTTTCAGAATTCAAATAACCCTTTTAACCTCTTGATTAATAACACAACACCAAAAATATTACTAATTCTTTACTACTAGTTCTACAAAATGAAACTCGGAGGTATGAAAACTAAGCCAATGTGAGAAATTAAACTGATAAAGCATTTGGACACAAGACTTATGTTCAAATGGTTTTTCAGTGCCTGGGTCCACCAGGCAGAGGAGGAACATTAGTGTGTCTACATGCAGTCTAATGCTGGAAAAAGGTCAAGTGTCAGTGAGAGAAATTGTTTGTACTTCATATCTCTTCTACTACAAAAGCAACATTTCAATTACACATACTGTGAAGGAATATGAATTGTTCTTACATACATACTCGATACAGATGGTGTATGTACAGTTGGGTATATAATCTTTTTCCACCTCAGCCTCTGTGATTCGTTTTAAGTGATTAGGCATACCTTAAGCTACTTAATGAGGAAAGATGTAGACATCAGCACCAGAGCCACGTTGTTGGGCTACATGCTGCTGCTGCTGTGTGAAAAAAGTCCCTCCAGACTGAAGGCCTGCTTAAGAAACCCAGCCCTAGAGTTAAGTGTGGACTCTTGAATTCATCCCTTGTGACTAGCTCCCATTCTTTTTTCACCTCACAGCTGCAGGATTGTTACCATTGCTTCCTTCAGGATCTGTGTACTGCAGGGGTTTGGCTTGATCTTGAGTGGTGGTCAGGTCATGCCCATGCTGTAAATGCAAGTTTTATATCACCTTGCCCAATAATTACGCTTTGAAGGGATAAGGAGAATGGCTAAACTGGCCCAGTAACCATACAGTAAGTAGGTCTGCACAAGTTCAAGAAACTTTCAGCAGCTATTAAAGCAGGAAGTCAGCTAGACAGTTCTGAAGAGGGTTGGAATAAAGCCAAAAATTAAAACAAATTCCTTGAAAAGCTTTTACACTTGTTACTTGGGACTGAAGACAGGTGGAAATCTAATTATTTTAAGATAAAAATTACATTACCAGTTTGATTGCTTAAATCTTACATTTCACTCTCAGCTGTAAAGAGGTCTGGACTGTTTCAGCCCTGCTCAGTCAAATTTACTTGATAGTTCACCTGCCCTGGCATAACAATGTGGTGTTAAGTTAAACGTAACTCAGAGTGAGGTTTAGTTCCTTCTAAAATAATTTACATCAAATTCTTTACAAACAACCCCAACTTTTTGCTTGTTTGTCTTATCCCTATTGGAGCAAACGACATCTGGGCAGGCAAAAAGCCTATGCACCACTTAAGTCTTCAAAAACAAACCAAGAAAACTCCAACATTCCGAGTTATGCACAAGAGAATTCAGATTTTTATCTGTGAGCAAGTTTCATTCAATAGGTTCCTACAACTTTTAAATGCATTTTTTAATATGTTTTAATTTTAATTGTCATTACTGCTAGTTTTAGCAATAAAATACAAAACCTTTTAAGTGGCATCACATTTATTTTAAAGGCATATTTGACAAACCAAAACATGATCATCTGAATATATTCTACTTGCATCATATCAGTCCAGCTTTTATAGGAATGTATATAAAACAGGTCTTGAAAACAGTCTCAAGCACACAGATCCTATTGTCATAATTGCCATCCCCTTCCTATATTGCTATATAGCACACTGAATATTTTGAGATACTGTATTTATTAAATAGACGGATCAGACTGATGCTGTGGACTCTGCACTTTGCAGGCAGAATAAAGGATTTTTTTTAAAAAGAGTATTCACTGAATGAATGTCTACTTCAGACAGCCATATTGTACTGCTCATTGGAATGGGAAAACTAAACCAGCACTGTACTAATTTTATCATAGCAAATTTTATCAGAAGCATAATTAAATGTGGTAATTCAAAATAAGGTTGTCTGACAATTCATTTATAAGCAAGGCAGCTCATTTCTCTATGCCTTCAACACAAGGAAGATGTTAGAGGGATAATGCCAAATCCAGCTGATTAGGTTTGGCATTTCAAATATGTTGTTAGTAGCGAGCGATTCCCCAGCCACCACATTCAGAAGTCTTGGATAGTTTAGATGAACTCTCTTGTCAAGGATATGCAATTCAACTAGAAGACATGACAGGGCACTTATCCACAATTATTTTTGATATATTCAACAGGAGTTGCTAGTATGCTACTCAAACAGAATACTGGTAAATACAGAGTTTTCAGGGCACGCAAGATGATAATAATTTAAGTGACACAAGAGGACTTCACATACGTGTCTGTGTTGAAAGACTGCAGCAAAGACAGAAATGGGGCACAGAATGAAGGTCAACTGAGGAAAAAAAAAAGAATTCCATATCAAGATTGTCTTTACTTCGGTGTTCAGGATCTGATAGAATTTTCCAGATAACAACAAAAAATGAGTCCTCACTGACCATTTATTGCTTAACACTGCATGTTGAAACAAGTCCAAGAACATGAGTCAAGTTGTGCTCTTCTTAAGAAGAGAGAAGGGCTCTACTTTGACCTAACGGAAAAGCTGAGTAAAACCATGTGCAAAGCTTTCATATAGGAATGGAGTTAAGCTTTGAAATAACAAACCAGATGTAATACACAGATGATATAAAACAGCCTCACATATTTCACCAGAAAGACTAATGAAACCACTAATCTCTCTGTTGTGAATAAGGAAGGCCAGAGGCACTTCCTAAAGCTGCTCAGCTTACAACATTGCTACATAAAGTTACAGAAAATTAATCACAGAATCATTTAGGTTGGAAAAGACCTTGAAGATCATCTAGTCCAACCATTAACCTAACACTGACCATTCTCAACTACACCATATCCCTCAGTGCTAAGTCAACCTGACTCTTAAACACCTCCAGCGATGGGGACTCCACCACTGACCTGGGCAGCCCAATCCAACACCTAACGATTCCTTCTGTAAAGAAATGCTTCCTAATGTCTAGTCTAAAATGTCCCTGGTGCACCTTGAGGCCATTCCCTCTTATCCTATCACTTATTATTTGGTTAAAAAGTCTCATACCCTGCTCTCTGCAACATCCTTTCAGGTATCTGTAAGAGGGTGATGAGGTCTCCCCTCAGCCTCCTCTTCTCCAGACTAAACACCCCCAGTTCCCTCAGCCCCTCCCCGTACGACCTGTGCTCCAGAGCCTGCACCAGCTCCGTTGCCCTTCTCTGGACACGCTCGAGTCACTCAATGTCCTTTTTGTAGTGAGGGGCCCAAAACTGAACACAGGAATCGAGGGGCGACCTCACCAGTGCCCAGTACAGGGGTCAGATCCCTTCCCTGTCCCTGCTGGCCACGCTATTGCTGACACAAGCCAGGATGCCATTGGCCTTCTTGGCCCCCTGGGCACACTGCTGGCTCCTGTTCAGCCGGCTGTCAATCAGCACCCCCAGGTCCCTCTCTGACTGGCAGCTCTCCAGCCACTCCTCCCCAAGCCTGTAGCGCTGCTGGGGGTTGTTGTGGCCCAAGGGCAGCCCCCGGCATTTGGCCTTATGGAAACTCCTCCAGTTGGCCTCAGCCCATGGCTCCAGCCTGTCCAGGTCTCTCTGCAGAGCCTCCCTACCCTCGAGCACATCAACACTCCCACCCAACCTGGGGTCATCTGCAAACTGACTGAGGGTGCACTCGATCCCCTCGTCTAGATCATCAATAAAGATGTTGAACAGGAGTGGCCCCAAAACCGAGCCCTGGGGGACACCACTCGTGACCGG